ATTTCTGCTTCAGATAATACTGCAAATGTGGCCATACATCAACGACTTTGCCAACCAGATAATGAAGGATATTATAGAGCCAAGCATACGAGACAACCTTCCTTCATCCCTCAAGTCATTCATGTTCGAAAAATGTGATCTCGGCGACATTGTAAGCTATTTTTAAGTCGATGTGTGCACACTGCAGTTACATAATCATATGTAAATAACATAATACAACAAGTTCCATACTATATGCTATATACTATCCATATGCTATCCTATATCCATATGCTATCCTATATGCTATATATATGCTATGATATATGCTATATAGTATCCTACATATATGCTATCCACATGCTATGGAATGTCCCATTGAAAATGTGTTAAAATTAACTATGTGCGTGGTTTTTAACAACATTGACAAATGAAAAGTCTGTATTTGCGTAATATGCATCAATGCATTTATGTTGTTAGTTCTATGATTCACATAAAACCAATATAAACACAAATTGCATTTTTGTTGTCTAGGCACCAAGAGTTGGTGGAGTCAAGGTATACACAGACGCTGTGCATAGGGATGAAATTGTCATGGATATGGAAATATTGTGAGTCCCCATTCTATTTCAGAAATCATGTCAGATTTGTGCTGGCTAATTACGGAATGGGTTCCATTGTATCAGGCTTCTCCAAGAGCACTTATAGCCTGGCGGCCCGCCAGGCTATCGTCGAGCCCCGCCATCCTAAAATGCACCCAGCACTCTAAATATCATAGCCGCCATGCTGGTGTATACACAAAAATTTTTCGGGGGGTCATGCCCCCGGACGCCCTAGCACGCAAACCGCCTTCAGCGATTTGCAACTAGGCCCGTAAAGGCAGCACCCCCATGCTATAATGAAAAAGCTTGGAGAACCCTGTGTATGTATGAGTAATTTTATGAAATTGTGTGATTTGCATTCAATATTCTAGGTTCATGGCAATATATTTTAGAAACAAATTTCTTTAATCTGGAACTCGTATACAAAGAAGCATTGGCATATGCCGATGAAATAATAAATCTCTACTAAATTAATCTGATATATCCACTCACCCACAGTAATCTGAAATCGATGACAAATCTTTGCATAAACTCATATGATGCATGAATCCGCATGTTACAATAAGCAAGTTTTTCTGAATGTTGAACCACAATCGCCAGTTGCCTAATCCAATTGTTTCAGACACCTCATTTCGCAAAAACTTCAAATAACCAAAGTAAACCAATCATAAGTGTAATGCTTAATCACATGACCATTCTGCGCTTAGTCGTGATGCCAGTCTGTGTCTAGTCGTAATAAGTAATAATAGTCTGATATTCAATAATCAATATTTCAATGATTTCAATATCTGATAATTAATAGTCTGCCTTACACCGTGTTTCGCGTCCGTTATGACGTAACGGTGGCCGTCGAGATGTTCGCTTGTCGTCACGTGTTTCGTTCGCCGCAGCTACGCCGGCGACATGAACGTCAAGGTGGCGGTCAACAGGATTCGCTGCGGAGTGAAGAACATTACGATGCATGGAACGATGCGCTTCGTCATGAAACCTCTCATCGGCATCTCACCGCTCGTAGGAGCCGTCACCGTCTACTTCCTAAACCCGCCCGTAAGTGTGCGTGCGTGCGTGCGTGCGCGTCGTCATGAAACCTCTCATTGGCATCTCACCGCTCGTAGGAGCCGTCACCGTCTACTTCCTCAACCCGCCCGTAAGTGTGCGTGCGTGCGTGCGAGTAACGTGCGGTAACGAGCGGTAACGAGCACTAACGAGCGAGTCACGTCGATCGCGTCATGGTGGCTTCGGCCTTGTGAAAAAAACAACTGTTCTGTGTCGGATATGAAAACGGATATTAATTTCTAAAATTAACTTCGTCCTAATTAGTGCGTTCCAACTAATTGCTCTCGCTTGCTGCTGCAGGACATAGACTTTGATCTAACGAACCTTGGCAACGTGCTCGACATCCCCGGCCTGAGCGAGATCCTGCGCAAGATTGTTGTCGCTCAGATCGGAGCGTTTGCCGTCATGCCTAACAGCATCACGGTGCCTCTAACGGACCAGGTCGACCTGAAGGAACTCAAGTTCAAACAGCCGAACGTAAGTGGGCCCTCTTGCGGGGGTCAGGGTGGGGTTGGGGTCGGGCAGACGGTCGTTACAACAGCATAACGGTGCCGCTAACGGACCAAGTCGACCTAAAGGAACTCAAGTTCAAACAGCCAAACGTGAGTGCGTGATCTTGCGGGGGTCAGGGTTGGGTTAGGGTCAGGGGAGGGGGCGGGTTAGGGTTAGGGTCAGGGTAGGGGGCACGGTAGGGGTTGGGTTAGGGTCAGGGTGGTGTATGGTGCATGTAGGGGTTGGGAGTTATGGTCAGGATAGGGGTCTGGTTAGGGGGAGGTCATGGCAGGGGTAGAGGTGGGGTCGGGAGTGGATCGGGGCGGCGTTGAGGTCGAAGTAGGGTGAACACGACAGAGAGCAGAAACAGAAGCAACGAGGGGAGAGGATGATCGACAAGACAAGACGAGGAACGTTTCGGGGTAGCGATTAATACTGAAAAGTGTCTTATCGACTGGTCCACAATTAAAAAAATCTTTGTTTGCCCTCACCCGACCCAGGCTGAAAAGTTTGGGTAGGTAGGTCGGCTTTTTATTTTTTTGAAAGCGGGGCGTGTTTACAAATTCAGCATGGTGTCTACATGCTCAGGTGTGCTTGTGTGGAGATACCTTTTATGTTGAATGTTTGTTTTGCTTGGTACATATAATGTATTGCCTACAGATTTATATAATTTACAGTGATACAATTTGTTAAAAAAGAAAGAAAAAAAAGATCAATAACATTTTTTGAGTCGGGGCCCCTTTTTGGCGGGTCGGTCGGGTGAGGGCAAACAAACAATATTTTTATTATGGCCCTGTACGTAGAGAGTGTCCAGTAGATAGAGTAGTGCCAGGAGGAGAGGATCTAGTGTGGGTGGTCGAACGAGCATGAGTCTATCTATACACACGCTATGCTGCTGACTATTCCATGCATGACTCGGACTACGTCTCCCGCACCACATTCGCGTTACATCGTCTGTTTGTTTGTAAAGCTGGTGCACATTGCTGTCTGGTTTACTGGTTGGCAGCGAGAGTTGTTTTTTTTCTCGTCTTAATTTTCGCCGTATTACTATTGCTCTATATAATTTTGTCACTAATGCATGGTGTCCACCTGCATACGTTAAACTAATGGTGTAGTTTCAAAGTTCTACGTTTTAAGCTTGCTTTTTTCTCTTGTCGGTGTGATTATTTTTCGAGTGTTTTTTCACACTATTTAGTAAGATTCCTTAGATTATCTGTACTCTTTCTGTGTGTCAGTACATGTTTTAGCTTGTTATGTGATCACTCGTTTATTCCTTCTTTCTTTTTTACACATTTCAGTGTGACACGGTAAGCTGCTTGCCTGTGCAGATGTTTGAGGCAAAAAACCGATGTGCTTGTGTAGCGGGGTTGCGGAATTGTTTGTTTTCAGAGCTTAATTGCTTCGATTTATTGTCTAGTTTGGAAAGGATGCACATGGAAAAGTCTTAGTACTGCTGATTTTAGCACTACATAATTCTCATGACTGGTTAAACGGTGTATTCATATGGTGGTTGAGCAAAAAAGTGCCATGTAAATCCGAAAGAGTATAAAATTTGCAAATCGTTTCCTGAACAAACTAGATAAAACTTTAATTGCGCTTATTGTTTTTTTTATTGAAATTGTTTTTTTGGAGAGTAGGTGTTGAATTAATATTTTAAACCAATTTTACGATTATGCATTTTCTTCTAATTCCATAATTAAGTTCGTTTTTTGAGAGTTATACTGCATGAATGAATAGGTATTATTATAAATTTAAAAAAAACTAATACACGAGGAAAACGATTTGCTCGTATAATTTATTTTTTGTTTATATTTTAATTGGAATTTGGAAGTTCTTCATTAATTTCATTGGGAGTTGTTGTGCTCTCATTCATCTAACTTTCATAGAGATATAATCTAACTATTAATATAATAATGCATGAGATATGATATCAGGAGTGTATCAAAACACTCGATGATTGATACACTCCTGATGATATGGTATGCATATAATATAATAGAGCATCTTCTAAAAGAATTGTTGCATGCATGCAAAATTCTCATTTAATCGTACTTCAAGAATTTGTTGGATAGCTAAAATCAACAGTACAAAATTATGAAGTTGCTAAAATGATTTTTCTAGCCATTGTGTGCTAGCGAAATCTGCGTTTTTTCCTACCAATGTTCTGCAGTTTACCGTTTGTTGGGTATCCTGAATGGGGGTGTGAGTTCAAATGTTGGTGTTGGTATGGCTAGGTACAAGTCCCGTTCTCCAGTGTATAATCTTATAGACGCACATGTCCGTGCTACCTTATGTGTGCTAAGTTAATGCGTGGCAATTCAATGTGGTGTGAATTTGGAATTGTGCAGAATGCATTGTGTTGTAACGCTTGCTTTGTTGAGTCTCTGGGTAGATCTCTTGTCTCGATTTTCCAACCAAGGCTCGCTCTCCCTACTATTAATTAAATGTCCATGTACACGAATGAAAATGCTGTTTGCAATAACCAGAAATGATATCGTGTCATAGTCTAAACTCTAAACATGTAAAGAGTGTTAATGTGTATGCATTAATAATGAAATGCAGTTTTTGGCTTTCTCATATGTTTCACTGTGACCGTGTTGATCAATCCTAATTCAACGGATCATACTGACCTGTGATGTGTGATCGCTCTAATTTCCTTATGAAAACGCCATGTCTGGTCTACATTTCAAGGTCATATATATATATATATATATATATATATGATATCAGGGGGTGAGTAATCTCAAAGTTAGAGATTAATGACTCCTGCTAATGCCAAAATTGATTATCAAATTAAAATTTTTGTTAGCGTGCCATGAGGAAATCATTGGGAATTTGAAATTCATTTCTGGATTTTGTTTGACAAAAGTCCATGTTCAGTGGTTACAAAGGTTGTTTGGGCTGGCATGTGCTTTTCGTGTTGCATGACGCATGCTGCATACAAACTGAGTTCATTCCTTGATATTGCCAAGATGACCTGGCAAGGGGAGCCTTGCAAATCAACTACTCTGAAACAGGGAGAGACTTGCAAAGGAATCGATTCTAACAATGGAAGCGGTTTTGCACAGGAAGTAGTTCTTAGATAGGGAAAGGTTTGTACAGGAACTAGATTTCCTAATAGGGGAATCCGCTATGGGGAGCAGAGAGAGAGTCGTGTTGGAAAAAGGTTTGGAGATTGTTTAGAATTTTTTTTCGAGCCGTTTCTGAAATGTGAAGAGGTTTGCACAAAAACCAGTTCTCGGGGAATAAGGCAAGTTGTAGTATATTGCCGAAAGAAGAGATTTGCTTAGGAATCTGTTCTGTAAAGAGGACAGTGTGTGTAGGTTAGATTCTGTGATAGAAAGAAATGTAGAAATATAGTAGAATAGAAGGTTTTAACTAATTACAAGCAAGTTTGTTTATTATATTACCTGCAGGGATCTGTGATTAACATGATTAATCTGTTAATAATGTTCTTCCGATACCCTATATATTCATTACCGTGTGAAATTCCAGGGAGTCTTAAGAGTGGAAGTTGTGGAAGCATCGGAGTTGAAGAAAATGGACGTAGGGCTTACTGGGAAGGGAAAGTCGGACCCATATGCTGTGGTTACTGGTAAGTTTACTAGGAGGTTTCTTTGACTGTAGTTAATCAATGTAGTGCTGTTTACTCATTCGAAGTGTTTTCTCGCTAAAATTCTGTGTAACTCGTGTCGTAGAGGCAAGCTGTAGTGTATCGAGGGGCGATTTAATTACTGTTACTTAAGCGAAAATTAAAGATTATAATTGGTTCATAATTTGTTTCCCTTTACTCCCGTGATGCATAGGACCTTTGTACCGGCATTGCTTTGGTTTTTGTATCAGGCTCTGTCCAGCAAAGCTACTTACTGTTATATGCAGATGAAGTTGTTAGCCTCACACTGGCGAGAAAACCTCATTTTTACAGCACGTGCTGACTGAAGAAGATAAAGATTAAAATCCTTGCTGAAAGGCACAACATTCAACGGGGTGGGACTTGCCCTTTCCTGACCTTCAGCCATAAAAGTCAAGTGTGACATTCACTAGATGCCCAAAAATGTCTTCTAAATTAATTCATCGTGATTTTAGAGTTACTAATACTAAGTATGCCAATAATACTGGAGAGATATATTGCTGTTGTTTTGCTGGTCATGAAGATAATTTAAATTGGCTTCTTGTTTACAGTTGGTGCTTGCTCATTCAAGACAGCTGTGAAGAATAATACTGTTGAGCCTGTGTGGAATGCCTTCTTCGAGGTATGTTTATTTTGAGATTCGTGAAATATCATTGCATATGTTGCATTGCACCATAAATTACAATTTAACCACAAAAACAACACTTACTAGAATGATTAACTTGTCTACAATATTTATTTACAAGGTGCTGAAATCTATCAGAGAAATTCTCCAAAACGGGAAAAGGGAAAAATTCTGGAAAATCATTTTAGAATTCTAGAATTCTAAAGCCCTTTGTGTAAGGGTATGGGGTCTGTTATTTTGTGAGAGTAGAATGAGACACTGAGCTGCTGTTATGATGATTGCAGGCTGTTGTTGGGGAGTGCAAGGGCCAGGCAATGGAACTGGAGATCTTTGACCAGGATCCTGGTGTCATGGACGACGACTTCCTCGGAAGGTATCACGTGCTAAAGAGAAAATTCGTAGAAATTATCGGTTTAGACACCGATACTGTGACAAAACGTAACATCATAGTTTCTCATGAGGAAATAATATATATACATAATATAGTCTCTACCACGTTTCCTCAATATCAAAGAATGGGACTTAAATACATTTAAATATTAATAAAACCCCAAAAAATAATAACCAAAAACCATTGACGGGATTGAACTTGAAATTTAGCAGTGTTTCCACACAAACATTCTACATCACTGCTGCGAAAAAAATGGCATCTGCTAATTAATGAGATATTGCAATATGAAGCAAGCAAATGCTTGTCATATCTTGGATCGCTTGTTGATATGTGTAAAAACCTACTTGAGTGACACCAGAAACAATGAAATGGCAGCATTGGTCACTTGGAATATTGTGCATAGCAAAGATTTCAGCCTTCATAATTACCATTGAGAAATTTTCAAAATCTGACGCGTAGCTCTCTCTCTCTCTCTCTCTCTCTCTCTCTGCGTACTATGAATGCTGTTGTATGTTACTGGTAGTTGAAATAGTTGCATGCTATTTCTAATTTCGATGGGCAACGAAATGAACCATCATAAGGCAAGTATACTCAACATACGTGCAGTAGAAACCTCGTCGATGGTGCAAGTTGCTGTGTCATATATCACCTGAATATAATTTTATAAACTCTTCTTTCCTATTGCTCTCTATTCGATAATCTGAGAATGATCATAGGTGTATGAATTGATCACAATCTTTTCTATGTTAGTGTTTAATTTCTGATTCTCTGCTCGTCCTTCTTAGTAAATAATAACTGTTTGTGTTCTACAAAGTATATGCTCCCACTCAAGATGAATTAACACAACAGCGTGGGTTCATTTTCCAGCCTGTGTTTAACGTTCGAAGAGCCTTCTTCTTTTTTCTCTCACTTCTGAGTGTCATCGCATGTGTGTATCTGTCTGTATTTATTTTCAGAGCAAACGTAGACATATTGTCAATAGCTAAGAAAGGTCGTGAGGACACAGTAAGTTCCTATCTCGGGATCACGGTGGTAGTGGTGATCACGGTGGTGATGGTGTTTGCTCACTCCTAGTAGTCTAGCTTTATTTGGAACGTTTCTTCTTGGTGAATGCCTTTCTTACTTTGTTGCTGTTGCATTATGTTTTGAATAATTTTGTTTATAGAATAATATAGGGTTGACAAGTTGGCTTACCTACACTGATACATTATCACAGTCACTTTGTGTTGGTGGTGGTGCTTATTGGTTTACGTTCAGTGGAGGATGTGCATGCTTCTGCTGTCTGGGAAGCATACACATGTGTCTGTTGACCGTGCTAAATGTGTTGGGATAGACGAGACACTTGCAATTACAGTCAAACCTGTGTTGTTGGCCACCTGTACAGAAAGGCTACATTTGGCATTGAGTGGCTGTTACATGCAGGTTTGACTATATTTGCCTTGTTAACCAGCACATGAAATTGACCTACTCATATGACTACACCGATCAGTCAACCAGTGTGAACAGTTTGGTTGCTGTTTCTAATACTGTTCTCATTAATCTTTTATAGAGTCACAACAAACCTAATAAGGGTATATTTGGTTTGCGGTGATCTCGTTAAAGGATGCAAACTGAAAACATGGATTTGTTTACCATAGCCATAAGTACACACATGGTAAAAAAAATTCTGCATTGCTTGTAAATAAATTAAACCGAATTTAATTGAAAGTAATTCTGAACGTTGTTAGTTGGAATAATATCAGGAGTAAGATAATATAGTATATACTATAGGATATACCTATATTATCTTACTCCTGATAATATTGTAGTGCGGCAGGTGAGAATCATCTAGCTGGAAATATCTGCTGTGTGATTTTGCTTTGTAGGGCATTGTGTGGTGTCTGACTTGCTTGTTGGTTATACTGTAAGGGTAACATCAGTAGGTGGTTGGGTGTGTGGTACCTGTAGCTATAGGCATAGACTGGTTTTACTATGTAACGTAAACGCTTAGGTGTGCTTTAGATGTGTGTATTAATGTAGTACTGTTACTAGGCTTAATTAATTGTGAAGTAAATTTAGCAATCTCAGGTTTTAATTATTCGGAAAAGATGACTACGTCACGGATGCTTCGTGCATTAAACGTTTTTCGTACATTCGGTCAAAATTAATTGTTTTAATTAATTCATTGTTAATTAATTGTTTTAACGAGTTGGTGCTTTGCTCGGATCGTCACAACGTTTTAGTGTCGTGTGCATGCATACCCACGCGCGTACACGCCGCATTATATACATTCATATTCCTTAATCTTTATCTAAGCATGACTATGAATATCCACAGCGTATGCTTCTAACCGCTTAGCATTCGACACTCACTACGCACACGCACACACACCAGTGCTGAACGTGCCTCACATGCTGTGTGTTACTATCTGGTGCTGTTGGCAGTGTTCATAACGCGCTCACATCTGTGTTTGCAGTGGATTGTGTTGGACGATATCAAGCACGGCAACGTCCACCTGAGAATGGACTGGCTGTCCCTCAGTGCTGACCTCAATGACCTTGAAACGGTGAGAATGAGTTGAAGTGGTTTAAGATGTGTTTTGGGGATGCTACCCTTGCTGGCTGACCTCTTTACAGTTACAGACGAATTTTGATGGAATTTTTTGGACGGGTTGGTCTAGCTTGGACCAAGAACCAATCGATTAGATTTTGGTGGTGAATTGTGATCCGGATCCAGATGTGGATCCAGGATTTTTTTGTGGGGAATTAAGACTTCGGATGCATTCAAAATTCATTAAAAAAAATCCTGGATCTTTTTTCTTTTTTTCGAATTTCTGAAAATTTCATCAAACTATATTGGGTGTACCAGCAAGATGGTGGGACTGTTACGCTGTGGCGGAGGTTTACTATCTCCGATTACTCTTGTTTGTAGATTAAGGCAGAAAATAGCAAGCAGTACATCGAGACGAATCTGGCAACAGCTATGCTAATGGTGTTCCTTGACAGTGCAGGCTCCCTACCGGTAAGTAACGCGACGCTCGGAAACATGAAGACATATAGCATAGTATGAATTCATATTTATCAAGAAATTAATTTGCTATCGCAAATTTGCGATCTCCCTTTGGGAAATCTTCATCAGGATGACACATCCCAATATTTCCCAAAGGGAGATCGAAAATTTTGATAGTAAGTTAATTTCTTGGATTTGACACAAGATAAATATGAATTCATAGTTTTCAACGAATTCCAATGAACTTATTTCATTCATATAGTATACTAGTACTTTAGTATAATATAGTAGTATATTGTTAGTACTACTATTGTAGTGCATCGTAATATATGGTAATACCATCTTCAAAGGGAAGTATTACTTCCGACCATATCTAATCATCGATATGGTCACTGTCGTGCTTGTTCGTTGTGATTTGGCCGATGATTTTTAGCTCATCTGACATAGTCAGATGCAGCTTGTAGAATCGCATGATGGTCCCGTTGACCGTGCGTCCGGTCTACAGTTGGGCACAAATCTGATAACGCTCACGGTACGGATTTCGAAAGTCGGGAGCGTGGGGGGTCAATCCGACAACGAGTTGGATGGTCGAAGCTGGGTCAAGGTCAAGAGTGGTGTAAGAAGGAGGGAAACTTCCTCCTTAACTTAAGGGATATGGGAGGAAATGCAGAAGTTGCGGCAAAATGTAAACGGCGTCGACCTAGGCTCGTGATAGTCGGGGTATGGCATCATGGTAGGAAAAGCCATCACTGGTGCCGAATTGGAGGTCAGCGTCAAAAGTCAATGGGGCACAGCGCAGATTTTAGACATTTCTGAGGACAGATGGGTGTGACGGAAGCGCATTGAAACTTTTTTGTTCAGCGGTGAACCTAGATTTTTATGGCTTTATCTGAAAGCGACATGAAAGGGCTTTCACTGACGTGGCGCAAAGGTACAGTGTTGAATAACCTTTTGAACCCTTCAGAAGGCAGGGATTTCAAGCCTGGATTTGTTAACTGTTACTGTGTTAGAAAGAATCTGACGCTGGGTTTGCTAGTAGATCTAATACATGGCCTGGATTGTATGAGGCTCAATGTGCACAGTGAAATTCAAGACTAAATTTGCTTGAAGAAGGTTTATGCTCCTTAAAGCTCTGATATTTCGATGGCTTCTGTACTGTCAGTGTGGTAAATATGCCCGCCCAGTGATGTGTGGTGATAGATGGTGTAGTTTTTGCCTGCGTTAATCTAGTTAACAGTGGCAGCCTCTCTATTTCAGCCTGTAGGCTCTGGTAGGTAAATGGCGAGTGTTACCTATCTGTTGCAAATAGAGTTACTATTACGTACGATGGAAGCTTCCGGCTACAACGTAACGCGCCAGCTTCTCGTGCAAATTTCCATAACGATCCTAAACGAACATTTCTTCGAGAAGGCTCCTGATGACATCCCAGTGTATTGAAATACAGGGCTATCCGTTTTGTTCGTACTTGTCCATTTCCACGAGGGACAAGTAGATCTGTCAGGTAGCTGTCTGCTGGACAGCAGTTTGTATGAGCAATTTTTTCATAATTTTCCTACCATCGCTGGCGTCTGGGTGGGAAACCGATGTAACATAGTATAAACATGGGCTGCCGGGAGTGCCACCCGAATTAACTATACTATAGTATAGACATTTATGTGAAGTTATAATAAAGAACGTGGTACGCCTTGCTAGCTCCACGAACGCGTCTTGCTAGGTTAGAGGACAAGACAATCGGGAAGCAATCAGAGTCTGTAGTAGACAATCAGTAGTCTGTACAGCCGGAAATCGAGTGTCGGCAGCCGTCGTCCCATCGAGAAGCAGGGAATTGCGAGGAAGGAGAGAGAAGCGAGGGAAGAGAGAGGGAGAGAGAGTAGGCGAGGAGAGCAAGAGAGTGCGAGGTAGAGAGAGCCCG